CATTCTACAACTTTTCTGAAGTAAAGAATTCAAAGTGGAAGTACCTAGACTCTAAACTTACGAGCCATTGTTTGCTTACCAAGAAACTGCCCCCGTCTGAATGCACCTATGATAGTATTAAAGCACTTCAAAATGGAAGAAATCAGTCACCTTTTATGTCTCTTTGCGGGAATTCCTCCTTTGTCAAGGTATTTGTCTTGTGTTCTCTACATTTCTGAATATAATTTTTGGTTCTAACTGAATTTTTTTCCGTCTTCTGTTTTGTGTAGAATTATATTATTCTTCAATGTCTTTGTATTATGAAGGTATTCACTTCCATAATTTTTTCATCAACCAGGGTACACGGATTAGGCCCAGGCAGGGTATTAACTTCAAGGGGAGTTTCAGGGAATCTATATCTGTAAATAGTAGTGATTCTACTTCTCGTGATGATGAGCTCTGCAGAAAACTTCCTCCACTTGCCCTCTCTTTTGCTGCTGCACCTACTTTCTTCATTAGTTTGCATCTTAAGCTGCTTATGGAAAATTGTGTTGCTAATATCTGTTTTCGGGACCGTGATTCAGTGGAGCATGTCGAAAACTGTGACAATATGTTGGCAGTTGACTGGTCTGTTGTCGAGGACTTTATTAACGGAGGTTCGAAGATTACTCCTGAGAAAAATTTGAAGGCTGCACCAAGTAATGCTACTTCTGATGGATCCTGTGCCAAGCCAGATGCAGACAATGCTATTTCTCTATGCCATGGAGCTCGGACAAAGTCATCTCAGCATTTCCAAAATGGCAGTCTTGATGTTTCTGTATCCTCTGATGGTACTGGTGTCCTTGAAAAGACTGGAACAGATAAAGTTGTACAGTTGAAAGCGTTGCAAAGCCATCATCCAGAGTCAGATCAATGTTCTTTATCCCCAAGGCCTTTGGTTGGTAGAGACAAGTCCGACACTGATTCCCAATCTTTTCCGAATGGTCTCACTGTCGAAATTCCATCATTTGACCGATATGAGAAGCCTGTGGATAGGGAGGTGCAAAGTACTCAACAGCCTACAGAATTTTCTTGGAACATGAGTGGTAGCATTATTCCCAGCCCTAACCCCACTGCTCCCAGAAGTACAGGGCACCGAAATAGAAATAGTTCATCACTTGGACACCTCTCAAATAGTTGGACGGATGGAAAAGCTGACCTTTTCCACAATGGTTTTGGCAGTGGACCAAAGAAGCCCCGAACTCAGGTGTCCTATACATTGCCTTATGGAGGTTTTGACTTTAGTTCGAAGCAAAGAAACCTCCAGAAGGGGCTTTCTCATAAACGAATCAGGAGGGCTAATAATGAGAAGAGGTCATCAGATGCTTCCAGAGGTTCCCAAAGAAATTTGGAACTCTTATCATGTGAAACAAATGTGTTAGTCAATGGCAGTGACAGAGGGTGGAGGGAATGTGGGGCCCATGTTGTATTAGAGCTTTTTGATCATAATGAGTGGAAGCTTGCTGTAAAAATTTCAGGGACTACAAAGTACTCATACAAAGCACATCAATTTTTGCAGCCTGGGACAACAAACCGCTACACTCATGCTATGATGTGGAAAGGAGGAAAGGACTGGAATTGGGGTTTAGAGTTTCCAGATAGGAGTCAGTGGGCACTATTTAGGGAGATGCATGAAGAGTGTTACAATCGGAATATCCGCTCTGCTTCAGTAAAAAACATTCCTATTCCTGGTGTCCGCTTAATTGAAGAAAGTGATGATAATTCAATTGAAATATCATTTCTTCGCAGTTCTGCAAAGTATTTCCGGCAAATAGAAACAGATGTTGAAATGGCTTTGGACCCATCTCGGGTATTGTATGATATGGATAGTGATGATGAGCAGTGGATTTTGAAGTTTCAAAATTCTTCTGAAGTTCACAACAGTAGCTCAACAGAGATTGACGAGGAGATGTTTGAGAAAACAATGGACATGTTTGAAAAGGCTGCATATGATCAACAGTGTGATGAGTTCACATCTGAAGAAATAGAAGAGCTCATGGCTGGTGCTGGAGTTGGGCCCATGGATGTGATTTTATCCATTTATGAGCATTGGCTACAGAAAAGGCAGAGGAAGGGAATGCCTTTAATCCGACATCTTCAGGTACATATTCTTTCTTAATGGGTCTTTTTTGTTTTTACTGAAAATATACATCCCCCTCCCCCACCCCCCACTCCCCCTCCTTCCCTTTCTCCTTTTTACCGTAACTCTTATGTAATTTGAAACCCAAATTATGGATCTTTTGGGGGGTTGGATGCTTATGTCTATTACTTCTTGGCCGTGTTTGAATGTTTGTTTCTTTTCCTCGTGGAAAGGTCATCTGTCTTTTCGTTCATCTGATGCATTACATAAAATTTATTTTTCCCTCTGCAGCCACCATCATGGGAAAGGTATCAACAAGAAGTAAAAGAGTGGGAGCAAGCTATGATAAAAACCAATACCACCCTCCCCAATGGATGCTACGGGAAACCTGCATCAGTTGAGAAGCCACCAATGTTTGCTTTTTGTCTGAAACCACGGGGACTAGAAGTTCCCAACAAGGGATCAACACGGTCACAGAAGAAATTTTCGCTTTCTGGACATAATAGTGGCATGTTAGGAGATCACGATGGTTTCCATGCTATTGGTAATTTTCTTTAGCCTTATTTAGTATGTTTAATTGAAATCTTTACGCTACATTTATTTTGTTTAACTAATTTCTTCTGGAAGCATTTTTTCTTAATTAGGTTTTATTTCTTCTCTCAGGAAGAAGATCAAATGGGTTTGCTTTCAGTGATGAAAGGCTGGCATATCCAGGCCATAACTATGACTCTTTAGACGACTCCCCCTTGTCTCAGACATCACCTGGGGTATTTTCACCAAGGGATGCAGCGAACATCTTGGTGAGCAATGATGGGTTTGAGAGAAATCATCTCCGCAGAATTCATAGAAGCAAGTCGAAGAAATTTGCGAGGACAGTATCTTATGTTGCCCCCCAGATGATGTCTTCATACAGTCCTAGAGTCGTAGGAAACAGAAATGAATTTCATCGATGGAATGCGGATATCCCTGATTGGTCAAGCCAGCGTTATTATCAACCAGAAGTGTCTCCGAGGCATGGCATGGGACTGTTGGATGATTCTGATCTCGATGAGTTCAGACTGCATGATGCATCTGGTGCCGCCCAACATGCACATAAAATGGCAAGGCTCAAGAGAGAGAGAGCTCGGAGATTGTTTTACAGAGCAGATCTAGCAATACACAGGGCCGTGGTTTCTCTCATGACCGCGGAAGCGATCAAAACTTCTTCTGAGGACTCCAGTGACGATGAAGAGTAGAACACCACAATTTAGAGTGAGATGATACAATGAAAATGCCAAATCCCTTTCAGCTTGCGATTCTGCAGCCCATAGAGACTACTACATAAGACTCCGACGGTGTTTTTGGTGGAATCGGTCTTGGTTCTGGTTCTACTTTGTCAATAGTGGTGGCTACTTTTTATTCGGTATTTTTTACGCAGATACCATAGAGAAATTCTAACATGAGAGCCATGAACAGCAAGAATGGGTTAGAACTCATTGCTTCGATGCTCGGATGCTTCAACTTCCTCTGATTCTTGGACGGGCGAGATTCTTTTACCAGCTTGAAGTCTGTTCGTCTGTCTGCTCACTTCAGCCATTGTTGTATCACCGATCATCATCGGCATCCTGCAGGTTAGGGAAGAAAAGGGTATATGAAATTTTGGCTGCCAATCTCATTGTACAGATCTTTTTTCCTTTTCCTCTGTTCTTTTCCCCCTTAACCTCCAGTTTTTTTAAGCGTTCGGTATTAAAGGAGCAGTTTGTCCACATAATACGACTACTGAAAAAAGAAAGGAATATATGGCCTTTTGCTGTCAAACAATCTAGTTTTTTACTCGAGATACTACGCCTTGATGCAAACTAACGGCTAGTGGGGTGAAAAATCCCTTAATATTTACCTGTGCGGTTACAGTAAAAGCTATAAAAGCCATCATTTCAACCGCACGGGTAGTAAAAAGAGTTTATTCCCTCACCAGAACAATAACAGTTATTGTTATATAACTCGAATGAAATGGATCATTTGTGTGATTTGGCCTTGATTTAATTTGCTAGAGTGTCATGTTTCATTGCATGATCAAGCCAAGGTAATTGAGTAGTGAGTGACAATTCAAACGGCCAGTCGCTTCTACCGCAAGTCATTAAGAGCATTTCTTCTTGCACCGAGCTCTTGTTAATGATTTTCCATCGTTAACGATAATGGAATTGGTGATTATCCCCAAAATTTCTTCCAATAACGCAAAATGACCTGTCTAACGGTATATAATAATGGTCCACACGTTTTTTTTTTTTTTTTGTGGCTCAAGATTTGCGACCAATGGAATGTTAATGGTTCCGACTTTGGTTTTTCTAAGTCTGCTAGAGCATTGTTTTATCTTTATGCACTCAAGTTTAAATTTCAGTTTTTGTAATTCAAATAAATTAGCCTAGAATTATCCTATAGTTTATTAAAGATAAGAAAAAGATTAATGGTTTAATTTGGGAGACTTGGAGGGCGTTTTTGGTAATAAAAAGAAATTTGAAACACCGTTGAAAAATCAGCAATGATTCAACGGCTATAATCGTTAAGCTGTAAGATCGGCAAATTTCACTCTCCCTTTGACCTCTTTCCTCCGCTGTCTCTCTAACCGACTTCCCACCAAAAATGTCCGACTCTCAGCCTCTTCCGATCATCTTCCGCAACGCTTACTATCTTCAATTTCTCTCTCGGTTCCCAATTTCTAGGGTTTCTTCTCTGCCCGCTTGTGGATGCAGACATAGATTCGAGTTGCTACAGTGGTTATATAATCAGGTTGGTTTTGAATTTCTGCATTTTTTTGCTTCAATTCATCGGATTTTGATAACAATTGGAGGGAAAAACTGCTTTTTCATCTGTTTGGTTACTGAGAAAATGTAGGAGAAGTAAAGGAAGGTAATTGATGTTCGTGTAATAACATTTGCATTTGTTAAATTATTTTACTTCACTCTATTGGGGTTTGATAACAATTGGAAGGAAAACTTGCTTTTCCATCTGTTTGGTTGCTGAGAAAATGTGGTAAAAGAAGGGCAGGTAATTGATGTTCAGGTAATAACATTTGCATTTGTTAAACCCTTTTGCTTCATTTGATCGGATTTTGATAACAATTGGAAGGATAAATTGCTTTTTCATCTATTTGGTTGCTGAGAAAATGTAGGAGAAGTAAAGGAAGCAAATTGATGTTGATGTAATATATTGCATTGGTATGATAGGTTAGTTGAAAAAGGAATCCCTTTTCTTTAAGAAAGTGTGCGTGTGTGAGAGAGAGAGGACATGGTATTTCAATTTATTTGCATCAACGATATTTTAGGCAGATGACAATGTACTTTCTTCATGCTGAAATCGATATAATCTACACTGATTAAATAATCAGGTTGGTTTTTCTCCCTGTGAGTTTCCATCAGCTTGGTGAAAATTTTGAGGAAGAGAAAGTTAAGCTCAGTGGTTCTCTGGTTCTTGCAATAATTACTTCTCCATTCTCTTCCTTCTGTTCAGGTTTCATAATTTTCTGAAAAATGAGAAAAGGGTTGAAGGAAGATGAGAAAAGCGAAAGAACAATTCGCAGTCTTTTAAAACTTCCCGAGAATAAAAGATGCATCAACTGCAATAGCTTGGTATGACATCTTCTTGTTATATTTTTCCCAAATAAGTGAAAATACTGGCATCATTAATGGTTCTTCATCTGCAGCATTAAATCAGTAAAAGTAGAAAACACTGTATTTATTAAGTTCTGCAAATTAATATTTGAAATCCGCAAATGCATGCTCATGCGCTTAGAAAGATAAATAAGAATTTTCTTGTGGAAGTAAATATGAGTTTTTCCTTCAAACCTACTCCTACAAACAAATGATACTGGTTCAACGATTGTTTAAAAATGTATTCTTTGTGCAGGGACCGCAATATGTTTGCACGACCTTCTTGACATTTGTCTGTACAAAGTGTAGTGGAGTACAGTAAGTAGTCATATCTAGTTTTGGTCACAAGTTTTGCATGGCATCGTTTTGATTTTACATCTTCTCAGTGCTGACCAATTAAGATTTCAAATTGTCCAGTCGGGAGTTCACTCACCGAGTAAAATCAGTGTCAATGGCTAAATTTAATGCAGAAGAAGTTAGTGCACTTCAAGCAGGGGGAAATGAGGTGAGCACGTACACTCATTCGTCTCACTATTATTCTTTCTCATCCACTATCTAACGTTCACACTGAAACGTTCATTTACAGCGAGCAAGACAAATTTATTTTAAAGAATGGGATCCTCAGTACCATTCTTACCCTGATGCCGGGTATTTAAGCATGTAACTCTTTGATTAGTATGGAATACTTCATATCGGATGTTCTCTAATTCACATACTACTTTGCAGTAATCTTCATGGACTCAGGAGTTTTATAAAGCATGTATATGTTGATAGAAAATACACTGGCGAGAGGAGTGTCTACACTGGTGAGAGGAGTATCTACACTAGTGAGAGGAGTGGCAACAAGCTCCCAATGCTGCGATTGGTGAGCCTTTTTTTTTAATTTTTTTATTTTTTTATTTTTTAATAAGATTTGCCCATTCAATACATTTCTATTTCATATAGTTCTAATTTTTCCTTGTGGAAAGCTTGGTCATTCCTTATTTGCATACAATATCAACAGCAGCAAGCACTACAAGTACAGAGCTTATTTTAATTTTTATGCGAAGGCTCTTATTGGTTGCCTCTAGTTAAAAAATCTTATTTATTTAATACAGAGCACTGAGGAGTCTGATGAAAACCAGAAGGTTGGTGGACATCGTAGTGGATCCAGGAGCTTCCATGATGATGACAGGTTGGAACGGAGTAATAGTAATAGTCCAGGAGGAAGAAGTTTAAGATATTACTATAATGAAAGAAGAAGTCCTCGATATTCTCCAGAAAACTCAAGAAGTGGTGGTTTTATAAGACCTCCTCTACGTTTTGAGATTGTTGATAACAGGATTCGGGGGGAAAAACGTGGATCCTCAAGTGGAGAATCCAAGGTCCAAAGCAGGACACCAGACAATAAGACCGCAGAAAGGTCCCATTCTCCTGTTGTGCCCCCTGTTAAAGATAAATTACGAGAAAACGTGCCTCCTCCACAGGTTGGTGAAAGTTCCACAGCAAATCAGAAGGATACTGATGGTTCTGCTCATAATCAGGTGTGTTCCTGCTTACATTATGATGGTTAGTTGTTTGAACTACAGGTTTTTTTTTTTTATGTAGTTCTAAACCAGAGGTTCTGTGTAAGTTATGTTCCAATAGTATCAAATCAGGAGATCCTGAGTCCAAATTCTTGAAATGCTGTCTTTCAATTTATTTTTGTGAGATCCATGCACCTGGGCACTTTAATGGCATATAATGGCCCAACATTACCAAAAAGTTTATTGAGCTTCATACTACTCTTTCGAACAGTTTTCAAGAAAAATATGCACTTATATTTTTTTGGTTTTCTTTGTAGAAAACCAAATCTACTGGTGGTCAGGATGGGAATGCGACCGAACAAAATATAGTAAGCTTGATTGATTTCAATACTGATTCCGAGCCCCCACATGCTACAGAATCACAATTGCAGCAAACACCTCCACCCAATGAGGATAACAACTGGGCCTCATTTGGATCATCTACAACGGAGAAGGCACCTCAAGTTCCAAATGCAGACCCTCTGGAGTCTTTGCTGTTTGAATTGTCAACTCCCTCATGTGTTCCTGTGAGTAATGCATCTGAGACACCACATAATGATGGTGCTCCGTCAACTGCATCTATAAACACCATGCCTGCAGGTGGTCATTCCCCAGCTGATGCAGGTCCTGTGCAAGATCTTGCTATTTTTGTGGTGACACCACTGTAAAAAGTGCTGATGAGAAGCAGTTAGTACTAAGTACACAGCAAGATCAGTCGTCTATATCCTTCACCGCAGATAGCGGTTCTACTTCACACGTCAATTTTGCAGTTGGAGCTTCAAACGCCGAGGTAAGATGAGAACAGCTTTCTCCTTAATTAATTACTCTCAAAATTCATGAATGCGAATAATAATTTTTAAATGTCTTATCTAGTTCGTGGCTTTATTACCTTGTTGCTTAATGTACTCATCTGCAGTTGAGGAACTTATCACTGGCACCAAGCATACAAAGATCTTTCAGTATTCCTGCTGAAAAATCATCTCAATCTATTTTGAATCCAGCTGAACAAACAGACAGTGGCAGTGGAGCTGGATCCCAAGTGGAAATGAATTCTAGCATACGAAAGGAACTCCCGGCAGTATGAAATTGTCTTATTTTCTTCATATTGATTGAAGATTCTAGTGAATTTGGACATTATGTTAAATTCTAGCTAAAATGTTTCTTGATCGTCTTATGTTAAATTTTCTGCAGGACCTTTTTACTGCAAGTTACTCATCAGCCCCTGGACAAGCTTCAGGCTGGCATATTGCTCCAGCTCAGGGAATGGGGTACAACATGCAGTATTACCCTACCGCGACGGTATATAATGCGTAAAGATTTATAAAAGCTGAATATGTTGTGTATTAATTTCTGCTTAAAATATGGAGGCTATTGACATGTTATTTTCATTTACAGCCGGCTCTAGCAATTCCGGGTCCAGCAAAACCAAAAAACCCGTTTGATCTTAATGAAGAAAAAAGCCTAGTAACTTCCACACATGTATGCACAACATTCAATTTGATACCTCTTGTATCTTGTTCCATCTCTTTTTTGCAAATTTGCTGTAGTTTATGCTCTTAGTTTTCTGTTTTTACTTGATTTTTATCAGCATTTTTTGTTTCTTATCGAGAAATTGATAACTTAAGAGTCCAGATCTTTGATAATATATTCATTTTAACCTTCGAGTATCATATTTGTGTAGTTTCCTTCCATGTCTTCATTGCAAGGAGCTCTGACTAATGCTCCAGTACCAGGCTTGATGCATGCTTCGAGCCTTCCTACTATGTCGCAATTTGAGTCTAATGAATCCATGACGATGCCTTCGCACTCGCCTTCGTTCGCAAATGCTTTCTCTCCGAGTAAATTCACTTTGTTACCTTATGTTTTCTTTCTTGGCTTCTTTTCTTGTTTTATGTCTAATATTATCATCTCAGGGGCATACATGGGGCATCAATTACCTAATAATGTGCAATTTTTAAGGTAATTTATCGTTCTTAGCTATCTTTTTTCTGTAACATATTATCTGGACGTAAGTTTGCTCGACATTTAGCAGCCCTTGATAGCTCCACCGGTGTCGTCTTTCCCATATTTTGCAGAGCATGTGCTACTAGAACACCGTGTCTCTGCTTCCTTCTCTTCTCCCTCTCTTATGTGTTTGTTATTCTCCATTTCGTCTGTAATTATGCGCTCAGTTTCTCTATTTTTCGGTCATTGTCATCATTGCAGACCGCAGGGAGTTGGCGGCTTTGGCAGGGACGAAGCTGCTTTTGGATCCCTAACCACAACTCAGCAATCATTTCAGCAACCAAGCGTCAGATACCCAGCACCCAGCAGCAGCAGCACCTTAGACACTTTTTCTCCGATGAGAGGAAACCCATTTGGATGATCGAAAGTTATTTCGGCCTCCAAGCATCTTCAGGAGGAAGTCTGCATCCATATGGAGGGAAGTCTTCAGGAGAGAGCACCTCCAAGCATCTTGTTAAAAATCAGTTAATATGTTCTCACATCACAGCACTATTTTGTATATTATTAAAACAAAAGTATATTGGAAGTAAGAGGGATGCTTCTGTTGAATTGCTCTGCAGTTATTAACGATTAAATTCACTCGCACACATGTAAGTACCCGACCGTAATCAAATACTTGAAAATCAGAAATCATATCAATTAAAGGGGGGGGGGAGCTAGTTGATCCGATTTCCATTTTATGCTTTTCCTATTTCTATGTTCTCCTATTCCTTCGTTTTTCTATTTTCATCGCTTTTGTTCATTCGTTTTAAGAAAAAACTTACTAGGATATGAATGGTTTTGCAAGGTAGGCTATATGCTCTCAATGTACATATTTTTAGGGATTTTCTGATATTATGACCCCACCACACAGACCTTGATCACCTTGTCTCTGGGTCGCCTGTGCCTGAACTAAACAAAGACAAAACCCTATGAGCAGTAGTGAATAAATTCAAAGTCATGTGCATATAAGCAGGGCATCTTCCTTAACAAAAAAAGGAGGGATATATGTCCATGGCAGCTGGAAACCATGATCATAGTCTTTGAATATAATCAAGGGAATAAAATCAATTAAGAATATTTACAGCATGGTGGAGGCTCAATTGGTGAAACAAACAAGACTAGCTCTAGCTACCAATCTTAAACTATATACTCACCAATCTTAAACCATCAGAAGAAGGCAAAGTTACATGAAAAGAAAATATTACAAAAAGCAAATAAAACACATTTTCCTGCAATAGAATGACTTTCATGGCACGTGTACAACGCCACAGTAGCGTTTTGTGTTAATGATATAGTGACATACGAAAAGAAACTTAAATATGACATTGTATCATTAATACGGAAAGTCAATGTTACTGTTTCCCGCAGTATGAAAGTTGCTCTTGTCATTCAGAATCTGCCTCACTCACTACAAACGCAATTTCTAAACCCTGCACCATCTTCCCCACCGTGCATCTTGAAGAACATATGCTACACCAAATAAATACAAGTCTAAAGTCCCTAAACAACTTTCTATGGATCATGCGCATCCATAGACATCACAGAATCAGGTTTGTCGGTGCCCAATTTTCTCAGCCAAAGAAGCAAATACACAACCATCCCAACCGCAAACCCTAGTGCTGCACTGGAACCCACCAGTGAAACTGCAGTGCAAATAAGCATCACAAAACTCTCCTCCTTTGTGATCATATCCCTAGCACACATGGCTAGTTCAATCCCAGCAAACAAAAGCAGCACCCCCAAAACCCCAACAGGAAACTGGTTCAGAATCGTCACTAAAGAGGTCCCCAAGACCAAACCGAGCACCAATTTAGCTGCACCCAGCAGAGCCACACACGCACCACTCCTTCCCCCAAACTTGTACTGCCCAGCCAACCCACCGGCTCCATGGCAGCTTGGCATGGCGCCAAACCAAGGACCCACCATGTTCATCAACCCTACCGTCACTGAAAGTGAAGTGGCTGAAAAGTCCCTCTCTGGGAAAAGATCAGATGATAATTTGCACACAGCAATCACTGAGTTCAGTATTGACAAGGGCAGTTGTGGGATTGCACCTTTTACAAACCCTTCTTTCCATGCATGCCTAGAAATCCTCACCACCTCCATGGAAGAGGGTCCAAACGTAATTTCATGCACAATCCTTGGCTTCCTCACAAAAGCCAGAATCACACCCAGCAAAAAAATCAGAAAAGCTGAAGGTAGTGATGTTATTTTTTTTCTCCACCTTGCCTTTCTGCTGCGTCTCTCTTCCTCATCCCCACGGGGACCCACATGATCGGTATGACCATCCTGCCCTTCCTCACCTGCACCATTAACAAGCACTATAAACCCTAGACAAACAATAGCCAAAACCAACCCATCTAACCCTAACCAGTGCCTCTCTCCCAGAGCCTTAGATTTGGGGAGATTTTGGACTTTTTTGATGTATTTGACCGCGGTTAACGCAAATGACAAGCCCTGTGCCAATTGAATCCCCCTCACAACGCACAGAGGGATCAGCTTGTACACCAACTGCATCAAACCTGTGACACCCAAAACAACCATGGTTCCACCTGTCAAAATCCCAGAAGCCATGATTTCCGGCACGCCGAAATCCGGGTTGGCTAGAGCGGTGGCGGCAATGGCCTTCATGGGCTGGACTGGCATCGGGACACCGTAAATTGCACCGGTGATAATGTTGTAGACGCCGGTGAAGATCAAGGTTGTGCCTAAGTTCAAGTCCCTTGAGAGAGTCAAGGCCACAACAATTGGAATGTATGTGCCCAAGTCACCCATTGCGCCATTTAGCTCTGCCCATTTGGACTTGAAAACCAGGTTCGATTTTACTTGTTCTGCAACTTTGGCTGAGAAACTGGGCGGAGGAGGAGGGTTTTGGGTTGGAGGGATTTGGTGGTTTTGGGGCTCCATGGAATGTGGTTTTGGTTTAATGCGAATAGTTTAGGGTAGTGTGATGTATTTATATAGTATAGTTTTACACGGAGAAAAGTGATCTGTTGGCATATTGATTGTACTGTATGTCTAGGAAATCCCTATTCTCTCCTCTCTTTTTTTCTTTACCTATCTCTTTTCTATTTAAATGGTCACGGTTAAGTCACGTTAACATCTTATATTAATTTTTTATAGAAAGAGAAAGACAAAATAGAGAATGTGAGAGGAGGGGATGAAAATGGATGGAAAGACGAGATGAGAGAATCCTAGTTCCCTATAAATAAGCATTTTTACCCCTTGCTTAAAGTGGTGGGAATGTGGCCCTTTACCATAATTGTGGACAGAAGTGTTGTCATTGCACGATGACATGAGTTCAAACCTCGTCGGTTTTTTTAATCTAACATTTAATTTAACAAATTTTTCATTTGACAAAAAAAAAATAGTAGTAATGCTCATTACCTTATTTGTGCCTGTGATTTCAATCTCTATAAATTTATCTTCTCCTAACAACTAACTATTTGATCCCTTAACACGCTATCGCTCTACTCAAAAATAGTACAAAGCAACTCCAAAGTTAGCAAAAGTCAAAGTGTATTAATTAGGGAATGGAGATGTGGTACACGAAACTGGAAATCAATGAAGCATCAAATTGGTTAGACTTTAGTAGTTGACTGGATTCTTTATCTGGGGAAGAGATCATTTGTGGTGGATTTGGATTGTATAATGTATATATATTCCTTTTCTCTCCCTTTCTTAACATCATGCGAATATATTAGCCAAAAGGGTCACTATACTGCCCACGAAGGGTCACTGACTCTGCGCAAGGGCCAAACGATTCAGAACTCAAATGGGGTCGTTTTGAAAGCTGATATGACCTTTCAACATCCTAGATGCTGACGTTAACGTAAACGTCCGATTATAATTATTTTCAATAAAGTTTGTGTAAAGAGTGCATCACCAAATTTAATAAAATCAGTTCTTCCTCTCGCCTAGATGCCGATGTTAATGTAAACGTTCGATTATGAGTTATTTCCCGTTAAATTTTGGAGCTGAACGGACCAAGTTACGAATGGGATATTCTTAGATCTGCACAAGCAGAAAGAAGGGAATCTTATAGGTGTACATTAAGAGATCAAACACATCTGCCCGCAAAAAAGGCACATCAACAACATTAAGAAAATAAGTCCTCCCTCTCGCTATAGGGAGTCATGACTCATGAAGGACCAATATATATGAGCAAGTAAAGAGTTTTCTGTTATAAATAGACAAAAGTTAGAGAAATAACCTTTGCTAGGGACATGAACTAAGTGGATGCAAAATATCACACTATAACTTTAGTAGCTATAACACAAAAAGGATGACAGATAAAGAGAGGGATGGAGAGATACTGATATTATTTTTTTAGTTCTTTCTTTCGCAGTGTGTATTTTGATAACACACGGAGTGCTCTATTTATAGCGCCACATCCATGATATACAAATGAGGGAAATCATTGCTCCTTTTGACAATATCACACCTCCACTATTAATTCACTATTCTAAAGTCTTCTCATCTTTTGCCAAATGCATGTGGGCATTCATCCCACTAATTTTACAACATTTGCATGTTTTACTTTGTTTTTGTTGATGAATGATGATGTCTTATTTTAGGGAAACTATTAAAAATAACTTCAAAACTTTAAATTTTAATAAAAAAAAACATTCAAATAATTTTATTTAATGGTTAGGACAAAAAAAATAAACAAAGTTCTGACAAGATACCTTGCGCGAATCCCATGAACCAAGCCCATGTACATGCGCTGGTCATCCACGCACTAGTCATCTTACTCTCACTTGAGGTAAGATGAGAGGAAATCCATATAGGAGTCGTCGCAATTGAAGATAAGATGAGAGAAAATCGGTTAAAGTGGTTTGGACATGATAAACGAAGATCTATCGATTCTCCGGTTAGAAAATGTGTTTATGAGACAGAGACTCATGTAAAAAGAGGTAGAGAAAGACATAGGAAGATTTGGAAAGAGACTATAAGGAAAGACAGTACTCGGAGCTTATGGAAGACTTTGCTCAAAACTCAGCAGAGTGACGTTCTAGGATTCATATAGCCGACCCCACTTAGTAAGATAAAATTTTGTTGTTATTGTTGTAATAAAACTAAATATGGTTATGGTATATAAGTTTTCTTTCAAAATTTAGTCACTTTGGGAAATGATAGTACTAACCCAACTGTTTATCTCTACCTGGCATTTTCCAATATGCAATAAAGTCTATCTATTGACAAAAAAAGAGTACATCACCAACATTAATAAAAGGAGCAAGCAACCCTCTACCACAAGAATGGAGATGAGTGTTGCCCTTATACCATGACTAGATGGGCAAAATACTTGCGGTTATGGGTAACCACGATTACCAGCCCATTTAAACTTTACGGTTACGGTTATGGGTAACCGTTTAGATAAATAAACGGTTATGGGTATAACCGTTTACCCGTGAAATTTAAATTGGTGGTTATGGGTATTAACCGCGGTTATAAACAGGTAACTGTTTACCCATTTATTTTATATATGTAATGTTGAATATTAAAAAAAAAAATATATATATATATATATATATATATGTGGTTGTTTGACCAGGGATGAGAAGTT